CACTATAGCTATATATATATATATACTAGTATAAACGCCTTCCTTCAGACGACTGTTTGATGTTTGTGTTAGTATTCATACCTCATTTAAAAATAAATTTAAAAAAGTGAACATTTTCTAAACAGGAGTTTTTCTGGGAAGTACTGCACGGGAAGAGTGTTCGGATTATGCTTATATAGACTGCAATGTTTTTATTTATTAAAAGTGGTACCTTTTATTGAAAAAATAACTTTTTTTAAAAACTATTTTTTACTACTATATTTACAAATTACATCAATAAAGATATAATCAAACCCTCACGTACAGACCTAGTAAAAATCGTATTCTTCTTGTGTTTGTTTGTTTTGAATTTCGCGCAAAGCTACACTAGGGCTATCTGCTCTAGCCGTCCCTAATTTAGCAGTGTAAGACTAGAGGGGAGGCAGCTAGTCATCACCAACAACCGCCAACTCTTGGGCTACTCTTTTGCCAACGAATAGTGGGATGGACCGTCACATTATAACGCCCCACGGCTGAAAGGGCGAGCATGTTCGGTGGGGGACGAAGATTCGAACCCGCGACCCGCAGATTGCGAGTCGAGCGCTCTAACCACCTGGCCTTGCCGGGCCTTCTTCTTGTGAGGAGAGTACTTTAAATTGTGTTCTGTGATAAAGAAATGTTTGTTGAACATACCACAGTTATTTTTCTAAATATCTGAATCTTGACTACCCAAAGTGTGAAGTTCATATGGATTTTTTTTTGTAGTGCCATTCAATAGATGGCGCCTCACTGTATTAATTATTTCGGTCACATAGATAGATATATACACACTACGTCCATTATAGTAAGATATATATTATATAGTTCCTGCCAATGTAATAAATAGTTCCTTCACATCCTCTTCTGCGCTTATATTTACATTCCAAAAATAACATTAAAAAGGCATATCCGAACCAACCACTCAAACAAACTTTGTGTAGGAGCGGAAGCTAAGAAAATAAAGTAATAAAACCCAAACGCGTTTTTCAGACACACGTTTTGCAAACTCAACAAAAACAAATATAGTGTGCATGCATAAACCAGTACAACTTTAATAGTCAGTTAAACCTAATTTAATTTCTCTCCATATACTCGATCGAAAAACTAAAAGTAAGTTTGAATCACGAAATATTTTGTAGTTTTGGCAATTAAAAAACAATATGATGCCATGATTATGATCATGGCCTGGTTTAAAGATAAGGAAATGTTTCCAAATAAATCTATCTTGAGAGGTGGGAAAGGTGGGTTAATTGGTTCTTAGTTGTGATACTGGAGTTTAGTGTTGTTTTTGGAATGTTAAAAAATACACAAGTTCCGGTAGAAGTCTCTGTTTCTGTGTAAAGCATAAAAAAAGATTTTTGTTGCCTATATTTAAAGATTTGTCGAAGAACTATTTCACTGTGGTAATATAGAGAAACAAGAAAGAATGTTCTGAGGTGAAATTACCATAAAAACAATGCTTCATATTATTGTTTACAGAGTTGTGGAGTATAAGACGTGTGAGGTTTCTTTGTGTTGAGGAAAGCATGGTTTTTATGGTAATTTCAGTATTATTGTTTACAGAGTTGTGGAGTATAAGACGTGTGAGGTTTCTTTCTATGACGTTTCTATCTACAAACGCATCACTAAAAAAAAGGGGGAGGGTTGCAGTCTTTGTGTTAAGGTTTCAGTGATTTCTGTTATTAGAATTTAAATATAATGGGATCGATCGCTTCAGAACTAAAAGCTTATGACTCATGACATCACAGCACGCGAGGGTTATAGACTGTGGTCGCTAGTTGTTTGCGTGATTGAAAACCTCACCCCAATTGTGTTTATACACTTTCAAGAGGTGTTGGAAAACGTGTATAAATCACGAAGAGGGAGTTCAAATGAACTGCGAATTCGTTTTATCAATACGTGAGTTAAGTCTATATTTTATTGAAACCATTATTTTTGACATCGGATTATTTACTGTGCACTTCTAACTATTTAATTCAAGGAAAATAAGAAATTATATATATGTAAGTATTCTAGATCCATAAAAACTTCTACTAGGAGAAGGTCATCAGAAAAAAACAACAAGTTATTCTATTTCACATAATAAGGTGTTGTTAAAATGTTTTCACGTGTGTATGATGTAAGCCTAGACAGTTATTTCTTGAACATGCGTAGTGAAACACAACGAATTGCATGAGAGTGAATCTTTGAAATGTTTTAAAACAATAAAGTTGAATCCATCCAACTTTAAAATATCAAAATGTACGAATTATGCAAAATCCCATTAGCAAGGGAAACTGAAAATTCCATAAATCCGCAATACTATCATTTGAGTTGTCAAAAACTAATGTCAGGTGCAAATGCTTATTGGCGTTACTGTTAATGTCAGCTTTATAAGAGAGATCTGATTAGCTTGACATAAAACCCATATCTATAAGGTGTAAGGTAGCCCTGATCAGCTTGAAATAAAACCTTTCAATATAAGTATCTCTGGTTAGTTTGAAATAAACTTTGTGCATCTCTAAGATAACTCTTGTCAGGTTGATAAAACCCTTATCTATAATGTAGCTCTGGACAGCTTGATAAAACCTCTGTCTATAAGGTAGCTCTGGTCAACTTGGTAAACCTTTATCTATAAGGTAGCTCTGGTCAACTTGATAAAACCTTTATCTATAAGGTAGCTCTGGTCAACTTGATAAAACCTCTATCTATAAGGTAGCTCTGGTCAGCTTGATAAAACCTCTATCTATAAGGTAGCTCTGGTCAGCTTGATAAAACCTTTATTTATAAGTTAGCTCTGGTCAACTTTATAAAACCTTTATCTATAAGGTAGCTCTGGTCAGCTTGATAAAATCTCTATGTATAAGGTACCTCTGGTTAGCTTGATAAAACATTTATCTATAAGGTAGCTTTGGTCAGCTTGATAAAATCTCTATCTATAAGGTAGCTCTGGTAAGCTTGATAAAACCTTTATCTATAAGGTAGCTCTGATCAGCTTTATAAAACCTTTATCTATAAGATAGCTCTGGTCAGCTTGATAAAACCTCTATCTATAATGTAGCTTTGGTCAGCTTGATAAAACCTCTATCTATAAGGTAGCTCTGGTCAGCTTGATAAAACCTCTATCTATAATGTAGCTCTGGTAAGCTTGACAAAATCTCTATCTATAAGGTAGCTCTGGTCAGCTTGATAAAACCTTTATATATAAGGTAGTTTTTGGTCAGCTTGGTAAAACCTCTATCTATAAGGTAGTTCTGGTCAACTTGACAAAACCTTTATCTATAAGGTAGCTCTGGTCAGCTTGATAAAACCTCTATCTATAATGTAGCTCTGGTCAGCTTGATAAAATCTTTATCTATAGGGTAGCTCTAGTCAGCTTGATAAAACCTCTATCTATAATGTAGCTCTGGTCAACTTGATAAAACCTCTATCTATAAGGTAGCTCTGGTCAGCTTGATAAAATCTTTATCTATAAGGTAGCTCTAGTCAGCTTGATAAAACCGTTATCTATAAGGTAGCTCTGGTCAACTTGATAAAACCTCTACTACTGAGGTAACTGGTGAGCTTTAAATAAACTCTGTGTCTATAAGGAAGCTCTGATCAACTCTAAATAACACTTGTGTGGCCATTATTCAATTTTGGGCACTTTAGAATAAGACCTTCACATTTGCAACGTGATGTTTCTCTTAGTTAGGTCCTGTTCGAAGATATAAATCACTGAACAACAAGCAATAGCCAGTTTTCTCTTAGTTAGGTCCTGTTGGAAAGTTTAGGACACTGAACAACCGGCAATGGCAGGTTTTCTCTTAGTTAGGTCCTGTTCGAAGGTATAAATCACTGAACAACAGGCAATAGCCAGTTTTCTCTTAGTTAGGTCCTGTTGGAAAGTCTAGGACACTGAACAACAGACAACGGCAGGTTTGCTCTTAGTTAGGTCCTGTTGGAAAGTCTAGGACACTGAACAACAGGCAATGGTAGGTTTTCTCTTAGTTAGGTCCTGTTGGAAAGTCTAGGACACTGAACAACAGGCAATGGTAGGTTTTCTCTTAGTTAGGTCCTGTTGGAAAGTCTAGGACACTAAACAACAGGCAATGGCAGGTTTTCTCTTAGTTAGGTCCTATTGGAAAGTCTAGGACACTGAACAAAAGGCAATGGCAGGTTTTCTCTTAGTTAGGTCCTTCTCGAAGGTTTAGGTCACTAAACAACAGGCAATAGCCAGTTTTCTCTTAGTTAGGTCCTGTTTGAAGGTCTAGATCACTGAACAACAGTCAATAGTCCGTTTTCTCTTAGTTAGGTCCTGTTTGAAGGTCTAGATCACTGAACAATAGTCAATAGTCCGTTTTCTCTTAGTTAGGTCCTGTTTGAAGGTCTAGATCACTGAACAGCAGTCAAGTGCCAGTTTTCTCTTACTTAGGTGCCGTTCGAAGTTCTAGAGGTGTAGGTCACTAAACAACAGGCAATAGCCAGTTTGTATATTCAAAATTATTTGTTGTTTTTATGCTATGACTTGTACTTAGATGTATTCTAAAAGTTCAAAGTTCATAAATACATGTGGTAAGATTTACAACAAACCAGAAATTCCTTAATCAGATAGTGTTATTTTTAAACAATCTTACTTTTTGTTATAGTTTTTGTGTTTAATGTTTGATGAGGATCCTACCAATTAATTAATTCAAAATTACAATAACAGCAACTATCACAATTGGAAAAGTTTGATTTTAATTATTACAATATTTCACCCATAGTATCGGCTCATCATCACGTAGTAGTTACATTAATAAAAAAATATTTTGAATAATGATGACCCGATCCTATTGGTCGATATGTTGTAATCATCAAAATAGAATTTCCCTTATATAAAAGTCGCTATTATCGTATTTTGTTTAGTAATTGATTTGTTTTGTTTTGTTGGTTGTTACTTTCTTCCACGAGACCATATTCGTGGTGACTTTTTTTCTTGCAGTGGAGCCAAAAACGAGTAAAATAAAAGCAAATAATGTTTCCTACCTAAAATTTATGTTGTTTTCCTGTCGTCCAAAAAATGGCGCTGAGTACGAAATTAGCCACTTGTTTCCACCACCACATTCCAAATAAGGTGAAGTCCACCTACCGTCAGATAAGCCAACTATAATGTCGCTGCCGCCGCTCAGAAGAGGCACAGAAGCGACACTAAGGTTTGTGTTGCTTTTCCTTTGGATCAGGTCAGTGAAGTTTCTTAAAAAAGGTTGCCAGAACCATTCACTTCCAACAGAGTCTTCTTCATCGTAGGAAACGTTATAAGCTGTCGCTAAGTCCTTGGTTTCAATATATCCATCTTGTCTGAACGCATAAGGAGCGAACAGTAGCGGTGGTATTTTCCCACGAGGACGGAAAACGCCTCTTTGAAAGCCAATACCACTAGCATATATGAAAGGATCACTCTCAACATTTACCTTCACCAAAGAGTAACAAAACTCTTCATTATAAAGCATTTCTTTATCGCCTGAATCCTTTAAAAAAAGGTTCGTCAGAATATTTGCTGTTTTTATGGCAGCGGCTGCTTGTCTTTCAAAACGATCAAAAGACTGATTAGATAGGTCATACCTAAAATGAGCTTTCAAAGAAGTCCGTGCACAGTGTTGCGAATCGCTGCGATTGTGCGTTAATTCGATGTAATTCAGGACAGCCGAAACATAGTCTTCTTGCTGGAGAAGCTCAAGCACATCATCGTCATCAAAATACGCAAAATCGGCGTCGCGCTTAGATCGCAGTATCTGTGACCGAAGATTTTCATCAGTTCTGTTTATCAATGGTGAAGTATAGCCGGTGTTTTCAAGAAATGATATTAAGTTTGGGCTTAAATCTGTTGTTGGGCTCATCCCACAAACCACGAGATTTTGTTTCAAAAGCAAACATAGCAAAGAAAGTATCAAAAATACAGATCCGTCCAAGGATATCACCATATTGGAATTAATTTACAAACCAAAATTTTAATATTTCGTCAACAAATTTCAAATATATTGCACAAAATGTTAAATAGTTGACCCACATTGAACAGAGCAATAATAAACTGACTTATCACGCTTGTTGTAAGCAAAGACAGCTTCTAAAAACAAACAAAAAGAAACGTTATAAACTGACACGATTTTTTCTTTCTTTTTAACTGCTTGGACGTGAGATTGTTTGTTGTAGAGAGGAGACGAAAATGTTGCTTTCAGTAGGTATATCTCTTTCAATAAGCGACATATTGGTCCCAACTACCAACGTGGCCAAAATATCAGTCTTTCTTTACTATTTTGCATTCTTTTCGTTTTCTTTCTCTTCTCCCGTTTCTCTGCTTCTACACCTATATTTATATTTCTCGACGCGACATCACTGATGGCTGTTGTACGGTGTTGAGTCCATCGCCTGTAAAATCAATAAACAGTTACTTACAGGGTGCTAGGATAATATTCCAAAAGACGGCAAAAATGAGGACTACAAAATAAAAAATCTAATAATAAATTAACTAGTGCTCTCGAAACTAGAAATAATCTAAAACTTACACCATGAATATTATATATATATTCCACACAATATCAAGTTATTTTCATTTTAAATGTTCATACTCGGTACATTTTGACGAGGTCTTACAAAAAAAAAAACACAACCTTTCTATTTTAATGTTATGTTCTCACGTGATAACAATACTGCTGCCTTGGGTCATAAAACATGTTTTTGAGACTTGGTCATTAACATGTATTAAATATGTAGAACTTATATGTCACTTGTTTCCAGCCGTTTCTTAACGATGCTATAGCATTACAGTACAAGAGAACGGAGCAACATGAATGTCTTCCAGTGTTCTCCTTTCTTGATGTTGGTATAATGTAAGCCGAAAGTATAACACAAGTTCCTTATCACTGATACGACATATACTTTAGAGTTCCACTTATAAATCATCGCTTGTGCAAAACTCGTAACACATGATTATTTTATTTACATTTTGCTCCTTTTTATCGTGTGTGATCAAAGTGTTGCTCGCGCACAAATTCTATTCGTCGTTAAATTTTTCCATATACGGATTCGTAATTTCAAATATTTATTCATTTTTGAGGCTCGTTTTTGCTTTTGTCTGACTATAATATTACTGGTTGCAAATATCTAAAATCTCCTAGTTTGATAAAAATAAAGTCTATTGAAACTATCTTTGAAGTACAGCTTACTTAAAATGTGTTAATGAACGCAAATTACATTGTATTTTTTACACTTCTTCAGTAAATTCCTATAAGAACAGTAGAACAAATCAAGAACATAAATATTACGTTATGTTTTACTTACAGAAATACACTAGATTGCTAAAAACAGTAGGACTAGTCATGACACGTAACATAAATATTACGTTTGTTTTACTTACAGAAATACACTAGATTGCTAAAAACAGTAGGACTGGTCATGACACGTAACATAAATATTACGTTATGTTTTACTTACAGAAATACACTAGATTGCTAAAAACAGTAGGACTAGTCATGACACGTAACATAAATATTACGTTTGTTTTACTTACAGAAATACAGT